ACATACTAAACCATTGCTCCTAGGGGAAATACTAGGATATGTTTCTTCAAGTCTGGTTACAGATTTTTCATCAGCTGACCGATATACAACCTGTTTTATGTGTGTTTCTGTTTAAAGATACCTTATTTAATCTATGTGTCTACCTATTTCTTTAATATTGAACTCAGCCAAAAGCAGTATAAGTCACACCTGAGTAAAGCTTATTGGCACATGTTTTTTCTCTGTGAGGTGCATCATAGCTTTCTCCTGCTTATGAATGCTAGATAGCACTTTATCAGTATGTTTGGGAGCTATTTTAATTTCAGAAACCACCATTAAGGACAAAAATGTGAAAAGTGTGGCACCAAATAGATCACAAAAAGGGCCATTATTTACAGTATGAGAGCAGAAATAATAAGGTAGGTAGTCTTCCTTGACCTGGTTCGGGGCGTATACATCAGACTACTGAATTATTTTACAGCTCTTCACATTTGCTTGTTAATAAACATAAAATTGCCGCAAGTATTAATTTTCAAGTTACAAACAAATGAGTAGGCAAATTCGTAAATACAGAATCTGTAAATAATGAGAATCAACTGTTTAGTTCCTAAAATGAAGAAAAAAATAAAGACTCCATGTTTTATAAAGACATGGAGTAGACTTACTTTCAGGCTAGAAGCATTCCTTATTACTTAATGAGTTAAAAATTAAAGGTCTGAATAATACAAATTCATATTCTGATTTTATGAAGTTTCTAGACTAATTTTATATTTGAGCTATATAATTTTAGAAGCATTTATCATTGAGAAAACTAAAGCGAAAGGACTTTCACACTAGTAAGTATGATTGATTTTCTCAGTCATAAATAACCAAATGGTTATTTTACACTGAGTTTTTCTGTTTTCTAAGCAGTTTTAAGAATTTGGCGTTTATTTCAGGAATCACTGTGGTTTTTCCTCTCTGCTTTTCTCCTTCCCCACTTCCTTCTATTGCTTATTTCAAAATTGGTATGTATAATGTCTAGACACAGCAATTGTTGTTACTGTTTTTTGGTGGTACTGGGGTTTGAACTCAGTGCCTCACACTTGCTTAGCATACCTACTCTTGAGCCATGCTTCCATCCCCCCACCTCCTTTTTTTTTTTTCCCCCAAAAAGGGTCTCAAGTTTTCTCCTATCTGGATTACAGGTGCTCATCACCACAGCTAGCTTATTTGCTGAGATGGGTTCTTGCTAACTTTTTGCTTGGGCTGGCCTGGAACCTTGATTCTCCTGATATCCACTTCCCAAGTAGCAGGGATATCAGGTGTATGCACCCAAAGCCAGTCAATCATTTATTTTTTGAATTGTAACCATTTGGTCATTTTTCTGGTATTTCAGTCCTTAAAATAGCTATTCCAAATCCTATTTAGTATTTGTTTAGTTTTGTTGTTATTACTAGAAAAAAATTGAGAAAAAAGATTGAGAAAAAAGAAGTCAATTAATTTCCTGGTTTAGTTTTCCCGTTTATTTTGCACGTCATCTTATTTTGTACAAAACTGAAAATTGCTTGCATGGAAGTACATAAAAACAGATGGGTTTTATTTGAAATTTACAGTGTGTAATAATTAGTTAAATATTTCTTTTCATTATTTGTTATACATTGCTGCTTCCTCAGTCACCAATTATCTAAGGTGAAAGCTCAAATTGCCTAAGTTTTAAGATTGTTTGGAATTCTGTTGACTATGGAACATGTGTTAATGGTTAAAAGTTAATTATTAGCCTTATCTCACAACTTAGAAACATCAGGTTATCCCATTCTAAACAAAACATTTCCCTAATTCTGGTATTCCTTTAACTGCATGCTGTCTCCTCTTTCTAAAATCTCCAAATATCAAGAAATAGTAATCTATATCTTTGTCTCGCTCATCCTTTTATTCCTTCACCCATCACTACTTGTATTTTACCATTTGTCTTATTTCCCATAAGTGTCCAATAATCTTAGTTTTCATTGTCATTTCCATTTCATTTCACAGCTTACTGCTCCATCTTTCTTGAAATTCTCTTCTTTAGTTTCTTTCTCTTGGTTATTGTTTTTTTCTGACTATATTTTCTGGCTTTTCCTTTAATTCTGTGTGGTATTTGAGAATATGTGTGTGGTCACCGTCTCCATTTATGCATTCTTTAGCTACCCCATCATTTAGGTAACTCACTACTGAACCAGCAGCATTAACTTTTTTTCAAGTCTAGTCCTACTTCAGCTGCTAAGTAAAAATTTCAGACTCTCATGATTTCTGACTGTAAGAATTTCAAATCTATTCCTTTATGACATTTCCTAGTAAATTTAAATAAACTGAAATGACTCTTCTTAGAATCTAAAAGCATGATTTATGCTTGACTCTTTACCACTCCTTCTACCTTGCTGCAAAATTTCAAATAATTCTGCCTTATGATATGTCTATTATTTTTAATTGATATCTTCTTAACCATTCTTATTGGTGTAATCATCATGAACTCTTTACCAAGACTGTCATGAGACTTATTTTATTGTTGGATAAATGTCCCTAATCACAATTCTGATTGTGTTGTTTTCCTGCTCCAAGGTATTTAGGGGCTCACACTTGTAAAAAGTTGAACGTATTTTACGACCTGGCATTTGAGTCCCTCTTACTGTTTGAACCCAAATATACACTTAAAAATATTGCTTAGTACAGTACCTTTGTTTAGTGTACTACCCTTTACTTTATTTCAGCAAAACAACAATTTTCTTTCTCTTTTATGTGAGTTGTATTTTGCTGTCCCTGATTTTCTTCTCCCATCTTCCATCTCCACACATCTGTTTTTAACGCTTTCTTTAATCAAGGCTCAGACACAATTTTCTCCACAAAACTTGCTCTGATTCTTTAACTGGAACTGCTTTCTTTCTCCTTTTAATTTCCTACGGGTTTTATTTGCAGTCCCTCGATACATACGAAACTCTGCCTTGTGCTTTAGCTACTTATATACATACAGCTTATTTCTCTTACAATAGTTGAGGCTCTTTAAAGGCAGTATCATTTCTAGGAGATCCTTGTCATGAATCTGAGTAGACAACAAATCTAAAAGAATAAAGGGTCAATAATATGATCCTAACATAATTTAATAGCTGCTTAGGTATCTTAGAATTTGAAATTTACTCTGTACTGGTAGATTCTGGAAAGAAAAAGATAAGTAAGCCATGGATGGCTACAGCCATCAAAATTCTAACAGCCTCTTCAGACAATAGAAAACAGATAATTATTGATAATGCAATCAGCTATGCACAGTAGTAGAACCATTTGCAAGGAACCAAAAGAAGTTCTAAAGATAATTTGTGCTAGAAAAGGCCTCTAAAAGTGAATTTACTTGAAGATGCAGGTGAAAATTAAACTCATAGTCAGTAATGAAT